AGAGAGAGAGAGAGAGCGCGCGTAAGAGCGAGGGGAGGAAGGGGAGGGGAGGAAGGGAGGAATGGGAACCATTCTCTGGCTTACTCCAGCATTTACAGGTGGCAAGAGACTGTTCTGAAGTTCTGAAGAATGGTGATTCAGGAAAAGAAGGTCCGTCCTTCCTTTACTGACAGTTTGGGTCTTTGAGCTCTTATAGGCACCTAAGATTGAGGGTGAATAAAGACCTCGATAAGTCCTTCTCTGTCAGCGGATTAGAATGAGCATATAATAGCAGCTGGTGTGAGAAAGAGATTTGTCTCACTCAAAAATGCAATAGTTTTTTCCCATATATTTTAAACAGTATAACAATTATTTTTTTAAAGATATGTGGATCCTACAGAGAGGCAAGAGGGCTAGAGGGCTATCAAGGGAAAAACTTTCAAATGCCTGTCTGGTCATTGAAATCTAAGAATCCAAGAGTCTTACTTGGAAAGAGGCAGCAGTATATCAGACAGGAGGCAGGGGCCTCTCTACTTTAGGAAAAGGGCTAAGACCTCAGCCTAGAGAACAAGGTTGGCCCCAGGACCAATGCCGATTCATGATAGGTTATAAATGAAGAGTAGCAGTTTTCTTTATTCTTTTGCCTCTAGCAACTAGACTATGGCATCTAAAAACAATAGCGTCATTTTTTTTTTTAAGGAGTTAGGGGATATAACAAAACACTTCTCTGAATCAGCAGGCTTGAAGAATAAAGTCAGAAATATTATGTTTATCCAGCATCTCGTTCAATTTTCACAGCTTTTTTGGAGGAAAATATCTGTTTATATAAATATTATCTGAAATTACCAGTGAATATATTGTTTGGAGACCCTACTGCACAGCTAATACTGCAGCAAATTACAGCATTCTATCAATAATAGAGCAAAGAATTCTGTGTCCTGATGGGAAGTATTTGTGGCAGTGTAAGGAAACCGTTTCACAACTAATGACTCTGTTGAATCTCACCAAACTGGTTTTCTTACCTCTTGGGGTCTGTCTGATGTCTCCATTTGGGTTTTGAGTTAGTTTTAAGTCAGAACAAATGACGACTGCAAACATTAAGATTTGCTGTAATACACATTTCATATGACAGAAAAAATCAATTTTAATCATATGGCTGCCACACTGAGGGTTTATTAAAATAAGAGATATACAGAAGTGTTTGGAAGACTGGCATTTAGAAAAAGTCTTTGGAAGACTGGCATTTAGAAAAAGGGGTCAGTTTGGGGGTGTTGGAGAGGAGGCATTTGGGAATAAAAAGACATCTTCAGGAACAAGAATTTGACGTAGGAAACACTTTTCTTTTAATCCTTTTGAAAATGAGAAATACATTTGGTAGGACAAGCTGCTGATTTTGATAACTGTCATGAGAGACCTAATTCTGCCTTTATTATCAAAATTTGCACGCATTCATCCTAGGGGTTAAACTCATGGCCACCATTGGATTCAGTGACCGAAGCCTTAGGGAAAGTGGACCCCGAAAGATATTTTCCTATAATTACCTCAGATGCAACACACATCTACAATGTTTAGTTGCTTTGGTTTTATAAGATATAAATATTTTAAGTTTTTCCTTCTGCTTAGTACATTTCTGGTATCTTTTGAAAAAAAGCAAAGTAAAGAACAAATGTGGAACTGCTGTAACATAACTGGAAGTGGGAGGAGGTCTGCTTCCTTCTGAGGGTTGACAGTCAACTGGACAACTTCAAACAGCTCTGCTCTCTGAGGCCAGAATGAGAGAATTCTCTAAGTCTCTTGGTTCCTCCATGACCTCAGTTAGACACCCAAACCACACAGGCCTCTAAATCAGGACCCTCAGTCAGTTGGGTAACAGGCATGTGTTATGTATTATGGTTGACCAATAGAAATCTGGACACTTCATCCATGGTTATTCAGGGTTAATCAGGGTAAGCATGGATGAAGTGTCCAGATTTATATAGGGCAGATCATCTTAAGTTATTTAACAATTACTCAGTATTACTCAATATACGTTATTCAATATACTATTTTATTAAATTCCCTCTATGTCCTAGATGCTTGACTAGATGTGTAATTTATAAGTATTTTCTTCCATCTTTACCACAGTTCTGCATGTTAAATATGGTTATCCCTATTTTGCAAATAAAGAAACTGAGACTTTGAGAGTTTAAATAACTTGGCCATAGTCACTGAGATGATAAACATCTGCCTGAAGAAGAACAGCTGATGAATTCTAGTAAAAAGAAACACAGTTTAAACTACAGTTGTTTTCAGATTCAGACCAAAAACTAGGACTGCCAACCACGGCAAGTTTTAGGAGAAATCACAGGAAGACTGAGAAATGTGGAGAGTGAATGGCCTATATTTGCGAAAAGTCCTGTCTTTTCGGAAGCCCACTAGAATGCCTGTCCTTAGCTTGCTATGTAGTAGAAAATGTGAGTCTTATTGCTCAAAGTTAAGGCCATCTGTTGGTTCAGATGTCAACTAGTGTTGAGGGGTAGGTCTAGAGTTTCAGCTACAATAAGCTCTGGTATGTGCCAGAGTCACTTGTGAGCTTACAACCTACAATTCCGGGCTCTGTCCCTAGATTTTCCAAAGGTTGGTCTTGGGTTCCAGACATTTGTATTTTTAACAAGCTCCCAAGTAATTCTGACGCACATCCAAGTTTGAAAATTACTGCTGTCAATTTTATGTTTGGGTGGGGGAATGATATCTTACTCAGAGATCTGACTAAATATACTGAACTACAATCATAGCTTAGAAGAAAAATTCAGCATATAAGGAATTCATGAAAGGATGTAGGGATGGCCACAAAATGTATTCTTGGTCTGTTTGCTTTTGTCAGTATTACTTTTTTTTCCCTTTCCTGATCAATGTCTACTTTCTATTTATTCCCATTAATAGTTGGGTCAAGAGAATATTTTGTCAGGTCTCCTCCAGTAATTATGTTTTCTCAGTTGCCCAAATGAGTGTAGTTTCATGGAAATCATTCAAAGTTTAGTAAATATATAAAAGGCAGAAATTTTGTTCTGAAAGATGATTCTATATTTTTGTTTGTTTTGTCTTTTTGAAAGTGTTCATTGTAAAGGGAAGCTGATCTGAAAATCTGTCCATCAAATCAATCTGCTCTCCCCATGCAGGCTATGGAGACCCCCTGGGATGTTTTCCTGTCATCATAATGATACTGATCAGCTTTCTAACCTTGAGACGTGTCATGACAATGTTCAGGCAGTGACAATATTTCTGTCTTTGGGCTCTCACCCTTCATGGGCTTGGTTTGTTATCAGAGCCCATGAAATTGCAGAGAAGAAAGGGTCAAGAAGGCAAACGAGCTTCCGCTGCTGGGGGAATTAAGTGTGAATGTTTCTCTACCTGGCACTGACGTTCCAAGTGCGACGAACACAACTGCAGTCACGGAATCTTTCAGGCCAATGGTGCAGCCAAAGTGGGAAGCCAGGTCTCCAATGAAAGCTGTCAGTAGGCCAATCATGAGGATGGAGACAATGAAACATGCCCAGCCATTCCAGTATTCTGTAGGCGGGACGAAGGCAAAGAGGACCTTCCAGAACACAGTCAGAAAGTGCATCACGTAATCGAAACAGGAGGGCAGCTTCTCTTCCCCACATTCATCATCATCATCATCTTCCCCTGGAGAGAAAGGAAGGAAGAACATTTCATCACAACCTGCACTAGCACTGTCTTCCCCTTTCCCAGACTCGCCTTCCAAGGCCCATCACTCCTCCACCGAGTGACACCGAGGCTATGAGAGGTGGATGAAGCTTCAGATTTTCTAAGAGTTAATCATTATGTACCAATTAATGATCAAGGTACTGAAACGCCTGCTCCCTGCGGCTCATTGGTCAATGACAAAAACAAAACCCCCACGCAGGCCTGCTTACATGCAATTAACACACCCTTTCTACTTTCATATGATCTCCAGTGAGATTTGTCACTTCACAGAAATGTAAAGGATTTCTTTTGGTAAGGTTAGAAGACCAAAAAAGAAGGCTCTTTTGAAGAAAAGACAACCATGGACAGAATTCTACCAGGGTTCTTTTCTTCCAGCTTGAGATCCAACTCTGGGGACTAATGGTTATATAATCACCCACAGGACAATGTTCAAACAGGGCCCTTAATCATGACTCTGAGCCTTGCATATTTCTCCAGCTTCATCTCCTGCAATGATTTCAAAATCAAACTTTGAAATTATTTGCCAGATAATTATATGCCAAATTGAAATTATTTGCATTTTTTTTCAAACCATATGCACTTTCTCCTACTTTTGTCCTTTAGAACTAAATGTGCTCATCATGTCCTAATTCCTCCATCTTCATCCTTCCCAACTGGTCTGTTAAAACTTACTTCCTCCGTGAAGCTCTCTCTGATCCGCCCCCCACCAACTGGTGTTGGGAGCACTTCTTCAGAGTAACACCCCAACACTTGTGACTCCAGATCACTGGTTCTCAAAGTGTGCTTCCTGAGCCAGCAACACAGAGAATTTGTTAGAAATGCAAATTCTCGGCCCCACTGAATCAGAAACTCTGGAGGGGCTGGGCAGCAAATCTAAGCTTGAAAATTGCCCCCATGTGATTCTGACGCATCAGTTCCAGTATGAGAACTGCTGTTCTAAATTGTATCTGTTCTCTTTCCTCTCTTCTCTAGTTGACCATGAGCCCTTCGAGGATAAGAATTCATGCATCTTTGTGTACTTAATGTTTAGTACCATCTGCAGTACATGGACCAAAATGGTTAAGTGCTTGTTAAATAAAGAAATGCATGCATTAATTTCTATTGACTTTATATAGCTATCTAAGTACGTAATATAAGTCACAATTTTACCAACTAAATCACGCCATCAATGCATAAAGAAATGCACAAAGCTTGCTACATAAAGGATCCAGGAAATCAACAATAGTATTCTAAAATGAAGATGTCACTTATAATGTGAAAATAATGCCCATTTGCAAGTTTTAAAATTAGGGTGTTGAACATCAACTTTTCTTGAAGCGATAGCAAATGTATGTGTGTTATGTGGTCATTTTGGGAAGAAGAACTTCTACTTTGCTCGCTGGCTGCAACCTTGTCACCAGGGCTGTACTTTCCTGAGTCCACTCAATGCAGCTGGCAGCAGGGAGGATGTCACTTTCCAGTTGATCACATGACCTGGGATGGCCAGCACGGAGCACTTGCATGTGCCCTTTGTGACACACCAGTGAGGGGGAGGCCATTGGGTTCAGATAATGATTGGATAACTCCTCTGGAAGCAAAAGATTTTGGAGGAAAGCATTTCTCACAAAATATGAAAAGAAGAATGTCTGAATGTGTCATCTGTCATTTCCCAGGAAGAGAAAAGGGACAGTGGCCTGTTCTTTTGTGTGTACACAGTCAGAATAATAGTGCAAATAGACTCTGGAGGTCTGTAGAGAAAGCAGCCTCATCTTTGAGGCTTTGGAAAAACTGGTGAGAGAAAGCCTAGCAGATGAATGGAACTGCCTTTGGAGACCACCCCAGTGGGAGGCTGGAGTCAGGTCAGCTGATCAAAATGTGTGTGGGTGATAAAGCACTGCTGATTGTTTCTTCCAGTGTTCATGATGTAGGGTTATTACATCTTTATAATATCAACCTTGCCTGAAAATAGAAGGTACTTTTTAATAAAAGCATCCATTAAGGGCTGCATTATGTCTCCCCAAAATTCATATGCTTCATGAAGGCCTAACCCCCAGTTCCTTAGAATTGGAGATAGGACCTTTAAAAAGGTAATTGCATTAAAATGAAGTCATTAGAGTGGGTTCTAATCCAATATGACTAGTGTCTCTATAAAAAGAAGAAATTGGGATGCACAAAGAGACACACCAGGGATGTGTGTGCACAGAGGAAACACCACGCGAGGATCCAACGAGAAGACAGACATTTGCAAGCCACGGAGAGTGGCCTCAGGAGAAACCAAACCTGCCAACACCTTGATCTTGAGCTTCAGCCTCTAGAACGATGAGAAAATAAATCACTTTGGTTTAAGTCATCCAGTCTGTAGTATATATTGTGGCAGCACTAGCAGACTAACATAGCAGCCCTCAGAAGCCTATGTCATGACAAGTAAATGAAGAAACAGTTGCTCACTGTTTCTAGTATATACTCTTTTCTGTTTCCTGATACATTTCTTCTTTGTTCCTTCTTTCACTTTTCTCCCACACTTCTCTTTTACCTAAACTTTAGCTCTAGGTATAACTCCATGTGAGAGCTACAATTTTCAGGGCTTTTTTGAAGGAGGAAGGAAGAAGAGAAGCATGTGAATGCTTTCCAACCTCTCTCTTATGCACTCCCCATTCCAAACGGGGGAGTGCATGGACCCCCAGGAAAGTTCAGAAAAAGCACTAGACTTTCTAGTTATACTTATTTTGTATCAGATCCTTTTTAAATTCTATGTTTGTGGATATTTTATAATTTCACAGAGTATATGGCTAAAAGAGTTCAGAAAACTTACATTTTAATCAAACTATTTTGCCTCTTATTCTCCACAAAATTACTTAATTTGAGCTAAGACTCATATTTTAAAGATGAACAAGAAAACAGATAATGAAGCTTCTCAGAAGAAATGACACTCATAAATTGAGAATAGATATATTTGTCTTCAAGATGGAAATAATAACACCTTTCCCGTGAGAACAGTGCACAGGAATAATTAGATCGTCTTTGAAAAGTGTTTGAAGATATTTCAAGGTAATGATTATCATGGTAGTTATCATTGTTTCTCCCCACTTAGAATTGTTACTGTGTTTCCCCATCATTATTTAATTGTTTAGTCAACTGTCTGGGTCTTAAGGTTACATTCTAGGCTTTTAAAAACAAAATTTAATCTTGTCCTCTGACATTAACTTCATGATCAATTAGTTAAAAATAAGTGAGTGTGTGCGTGCATGTGCACACGTGGTGTGTGTGTGTGTGTGTGTGTGTGTGTGTGTGTGTGTTAGAGGGGAGAGAGTTCCTTCTGTAGGCTTCCGGCATTACAAACAATCTGAAATGTTTTAATGCGTTAAGTCTGGAATGGGAGGCCCATCTGTTTTATAGCATTTGAAAGCAGAAGTGGCTTCCCATCCTGTTTCCTGGGCTCTCACTGCTCTTTATACATTTTAATCTCCAACTTAGATGTCATTTAAATATTAAAAATGACCACTGCCTGCCATGCATGAGACACAATTAACCTGTCTTGGGGAAGGACAAAGAAATATTATATTCATCCATCACCATCTGGACTCTACTTAAAAGTCTATTTCTTGCAAAGAACAGTGGAACATTAAAAAAAATTCTGAGAGCATCTCTTCTGTGACAGCAAAGATGATAGTAATCTGCGGTTCTGTGGTTCTGTGTGTTTGCCAGCTCAGGGTTCCTGGAGGCTACTTTATTCCTCCAAGTCCCTTCTCTGTGTTAGCAAAGAAACAGGCTGGTTGGTGGGTTTGTTTTTATAGGATCCCAAGTAAATTCCTCTTATTTCAGAATCCTTTCCAGTTTTGTGGATTCCACTAATGCAAAGATAAGAAACAGGCCATATTCGAATAATCCCTCCCATAGCCTGTAAATGGCTTCTTTGATACATGTTGGACTTTCCAAAGATAGTTAAAAAAAGAGTCAAATCATTAAAGTGCAGCCAGTGCAGAGGGCATCACTACAACCATTAATGGAAGAGTACTTGCATTGCTGCTGCCCTGGAGCGTGAGAACTAGGGTGTCATCAGCCCGACTGACCATGGTAGTCAACTCCTGGGCTTGGCACCTGCAAATAATGTATTGCCTAATGTAAAAACAGGTGTTTGTTTACCTCCTCCCTAGGAGCTCGGGCCTTGCCCTCAGAGAGAACTCTGAGAACCAGAAAAAGAAGCTGTTTGGGTGTGATGGCCACTTAAGTCAATGAACTCTAGTCAATTTCTAGTTCTGACAGCTTGCTTTTGGGCAAGACATGGAAACTCCCTGAGCCTCAGTTCTTCACCTGTCAAATGAGTTTCTTAACTCCTGCATCACAGAGCTGTTGTGAAAACCAGAAGAGGGAAAGTGTAAGTCCTTTATAAAACTGTAAAACTTTTACAGACAAATGTGCCATATTGCATTGTTGTTACTTATTGGAGGGAAGACAGTAAATCAATACAACCTGTGTATCCTAATTTTACCGAATCTATATTCTGTTTGAATGAGCCATTATACTAGTTTCTCGGAGCTGCTTCATTTTTAAGAAAAGAAAGGAAGGACAAAACAGAGGGAGGGAACACAGGAGGGCATCTACTATGTGACAGGCACTGAGCTAAATTCTTTCACATACCTGATCTTACTTTATCCTTGCGTTAATCTTGCAATTGAGGCATTATTAATCCCAGTGTACATATGAAAAACGTGAAGTGCAGATTTAAGGACCTTTCTAAAATAATCTCACACAGTTGGCAAATGGCTGAGTTGGGATTTGATCTAACAGTTCGGAGAACATTTTACTACAGATGACGCCTTACAATAAAAAGTTGAAGAATTCAGCATCTATCACATATGGATTTAAAGTCTGAGTCTGATAATTATTTTAATGCTTAATGCTATAAAGATACAATGCTGCCTTTTTAAAGGGATGTGAAAATATTGATGCACCATCAGTGATATTTATGTTCTAAGTCT